TTAAGCCACTGTGACTTTGGGATATCTGTCACCTGCAGTCAAATCTAATGCAAACAGATGCACTTCCCTCCGGCAGAGGGGAGCAGGAGCAGCTGTGTCCACATCACAAGCCCAGTCTCCCTGAGCCCAGCCAGCTCTTCCTGGCCTCCTAGCCCTTGGTTGCCACTGACTGCAGGTGACCGCTGTTCCCCTTCCTGGCCCCGCTCTGACACCTCTGCCCACCTTTCCCCTGTTCACTTCCTGGCTGAAGTGTCCCCCTCTGTAAATGGCATCGAGCAGCACAGGTATTGAAAGTCCTGCCGCAGACTGGGACTGAACCCAGGGCCTTGCACATGTGAGGCAAGCACCCTACCCACTGAGCTACATCCCCAGCCCCTCTGGCACAGACTTAACAGCCAGCACATAGTTCCCATCCCTTTCTCCCGGCTCCCTCCCCAACCTGAACCCCCACTCTGCAAACACTGCAAGAGCAAACAGAAAATTTATTATTAGATTCTTTTTTCTTTTTTGTGGGGGATACAGGGATTGAACTCAGGGGCACTCGACCAGCCCTTTTTATTTTTTATTTTGAGACAAGGTCTTGCTAAGTTGCTGAGGCAGGCTTTGAACTTGTGATTCTCCCTGCCTCAGCCTCCCAAGCCACTGGGATTACTCATGTGTATATTTAAAAAAATTTTTTTTGTCGTAGACGGACAGCATGCCTTTATTTATTTATTTTTATGTGGTGCTAAGGATTCAACCCAGTGCTTCTGGTGCTCTACCACTGAGCCCCATCCCCATCCCCTCGTGTCTTTTTTTTGGGGGGGGTACTGGGGACTGAGCTCAGGGGCGCTCGACCACTGAGCCACACCCCCAGCCCTATTTTGTATTTTATTTAAAGACAGGGTCTCACTGGGTTGCTTAGCACCTTGCCAAATTCCCGAGGCTGGCTTTGAACTTGAAATCCTCCTGCCTCAGCCTCCTGAGCTGCTGGGATCACAGGTGTGGGACACGGCGCCTGGCAATTTATTAGATTCTTGTAACTGTGAAGTCAAGAGAAAAGTCACACAGCAGGTAGGGCTTGCTCTAGGGGCTCAGTGCTCCTAGGAACAGCTAAAGGTTACCGAGTGTTTACAATGTGTCGCACGCTCTTCTAACTACTATATACTAACGTGTCCATCTTCACAACCCGTGAGGTGGGCACGACATTTACTACCCTTACTTCCTACTGCTGACATTCTGATGGGAGTGAATAAACTGCTCACGGTCACACTGCACACACGTGATGGGGCTGAGACTCAAGCCTAAATCTGTCTGACTGCAAAGGTAGGTCCTGTTTCAGGGGAAGGTTGATCCAGCAACTCAAAGATCTCAGTGAGGACCCGGTTTCCCTTGGTCTCCCCTCTTTGCCTCCTCTAGTGCTGATCACCCCAAGGATGCCCCCCCCAACGTGCCAGCAGATCCCAGCGGGACCTACCTGCTCACTCACACCCCTTCCATGCCAGGGTCCCGAAGCTCCCGTGGTCGGCCTGTTTGAGGTCACGTGTCCATCTCTGAACCAATCACTGTTTCAGGGCCTGGACCATGTGCTGGGGGAGGGGGCTTCAGAACTGCACAGACCGCGGGCTGAGAATGGGCCAAGGAGACTCCTCCGAAACCTTAGGGCATCATTTCACCAAGGACAAGGAATGACATGGGCAGCGGAGCAGAGCCCCCACTCACACGGACAGCAGCACTCTGAAGCGAACAGGGCAGGAAGCGGGAGGCTTGGTCTGGGCAGCGCCTGGTCCTTCCGTGTCCCTGCCGGGAAAGGCCTCTGTCCACGCCCAGGGTCGGAGGCGTCGCCCTGGGTGGGGGCAGCCTGCGCAGGGCCAGAGCACGTGACTGGTGAAGGGACAGCGGCCCTGCCAGGCACACAGCCTCTGGGAGCCTGCTGGCCCCGGGCTGCCCTGAAGCCTGGGCACTCTCTCTGAGGCCGCGGCCTCCCTCCAGCGCTGGCCCGGCTCCTTGAAGATGCCTGTGGGCTCGGACCCACGGAAGGGACGTCAGACTGAACCCCAGAGTCAGCGGGTCTTCAGGTGACGAGGACGGGTCAGCGGGGTTCCTCAGCTGTGACCAATGTGGCATTCAGGTGGAGCGGGGAGCGCTGACCCTTCCCCTTCAGTCTGCTCACGCGTCACTGGCCACGAGTGGCTTTCCTGGCCACCCATTAACAGTGGCACCTGCCTTCTGTCCTCCCAGACCAATCCTCCCTCCTCTGCTCAACGTAGTTCTTGAAGCAGCCGTCTCCTTCTAGAACGTTCCGGCTCCTTCTAACACATTCTGTCTCCTTCTAGCACATTCCTGCAGTTTGTCTCCTGCTGTGTCTCCCCTGCCTTCCCCACCCAAGCTCCTGTTCCAAGAGGGAGGTTTTGTCATTTTTTTGCCCCCCCCCACCGTTTCCAACGGCTCTGACAGGTCCTGGCACGTAGTAGATGCTCAAGAAATGATCGCTGTCAGTGACTGCGTGAGGAGAGGCTCCGAGGTCACAGAGGCACTCGCTTCCGCACACAGAGGGTGTCCTCAAGGATCCCAGACGGGGCACACTGTGTGTACGAGGGACATTGCAGGAACCCCTCTCCCCCCAGCCCCACCACAGGCACCTCTGACACCAGACCCTCCCACCGTGCCCCTCCCCCCAGCGCTGACCACCCACCTCTGCCCCCACAGGGACCTACTCACAGCAGGTCGCCCCTGCTCTTGGGTAAAGTCCAGATTCCATTGGGGGGGCACAAGCTCACCCCCCCAGCTTCCCTGCCCTGCTGCCCCCTCCAGTCCCCAGGATGTTCCCCCCCCCAGTTCCGGGACACAGCCTTTCATCTAAAAGCCATCGCACACAGGGTCCCCTGTGCCTGGAACATGGTAAGACAGTTCCTCCCGGAGCCCGTTCCCAGAACACCACTCTCACCCTTCAGCTTCGGCCCCGTCATCTCCTCCTCTGGGAAGCCCTCCCTGATTGCTCACCCTGGGGCAGGTCGCCCCACAACACGTGCATTCCCAACGAGTGTCCGCCTCCCTCGTTCATTTCAACTCATCTTTGTCCTGCACGTGCTGTGCCGTCTGGCCCCTAATGCCTCTCTGATCCTGCCCTCCCCCTTGCTCTCCACCCCCCCCATATGGTCTCTGTATGGTCTGGATATGATTCGAGGGTGTCCCCCATGGGGCTCATGCACTGGGGCTTGGTCCTCCGCATGGCAGTGCTGGGAGGTGGTGGCCCTTGGAAGGAACCTCTGCGGTTCTCCTAGGACGCTGGTTACTTGTCACAGGAGCATGTTATAAAAGAGCAAGCCTAGCCCCCTCCAGTCTCCCGGCTTCCTGTCTTACCATGTGATGGCTCCCTCTTGCACATGCTCCTGGTGACACCATCCATCAGAGACCCTCAGCAGAACTGGGTCAGGGCCAGTGCTAGTCCTTGAACTTCCATAAATATAAGCTCATAAACCTCTTTTCTTTGCAAAACACACAGCCTCGGGCATTTCATTATAGTAACAGAAAACAGAATGATACAGCTTTCTTGATCTTCCTTGAAGACACCCAGCAGGGCCTTTGCACTCCCCTCACCTGGGTATCTGCAGGTGGCTCATTTGCTTCCTTCAGGTCTCTGTTAAGAGGACACCTCCTCAGAGAAGCCTTTGCTGACATCCTCCCTCTCTAGCGGACTCCCCTGTCTTCACCCTGCTTCACTTCTTTCCACAGCACCTGCCCCACCTGGCAACCTGTCATCTTCTTCCCTGTTCGTGACCGCCTGTCCCTTTCGCAACTGTGGACACATCCTCTTCACTATTGTCTTGCCACACTGGCCCCAAACCCAGCCCACGGCAGGCCTCGGGAGAGATGTGGTCTAGTCCACGTGACCCGAGGCCAATCCCGGCTCCATCCCCAACACGGTGACATCTGGGGGTCTCGGGCCAACTCTGCAGTCAGAGCCTCAGGGCGGGGAGGAGCTGGAGAACAGGGACCCAAGGAGGAGAAGGGGCAGTCACAGGACCCGGGACAAGGTGCACCAGGAAGCAGGAATGGCTGTGCAGAGGCCCCACGGCAGCAGTGGGAGGTGACAGGAGAGGGGCTGTCGCATTGGCAGGGCCTTAAATGCCAAGGATCCATTCCCCATCTCTGGCCTCGCCTTACAGAGAGCGCTGTCCCTGGGGGCGTGAGACGGACCTGACCAGGCCAGAGATCTGCCACTGCCCACCACCAGGACGGTCCTCACTCCAGGCCGTGCCTCCCATCACTCACCCCTGCCCCCGACCTTCCCCCAGTCTGTGACTCCACCTCCCCCTCCTCTCTCTTTGCTCAGATGTGACCACACTCCTGTGTCCTTCTCTGGGCAAGAACACTTGGTGCCCACTTACACTCTGGACATCGGCCAGCACCTCCCACACCGGGGCCACCAGAACCCGGCCACCCTCGCAGCCAGAGGGATCCTCTTTTCATGTAAAGCCAAGGTCACTGCCCAACTGTGCTCAAGGTCACAGCACAGTCCAGCAGAACTTTGTGCAAACTCTCTCTGCACTGTTGATCCATTAACCCCTGAAATGTGGCCAGCAGAGCGGAAGGACTGAGTTTTAAGTCTTCTGTGACTTGACTTACTTAATGGCCACATCAGGTCAGCAAGGCTGGGGAAACAGGTGGCTGTCGAAACCCAGCTCGTGGGCATCTAAATTAGTAGAGGATTCCAGTGGCAAGATCTACCCACCTGCCAATCCATTCGTCAGCCTCTATCAAAATGTAATCAAAAGGCATTTAACATCTGTCCCAGCCACCCCAACTCAGAGGTATGTGCTACTGGTCTACCTGCACCCACAAAGCATTAAGTTTGTAACCTGCAAAGAGGAAGCCACGCAATCTCCGTCCACAAGTGGCTGGTTAGCTGAATTACGGTCCAGCCACATTGTGGAATATGATGCAGCCATGGAAAAAAAGAGTGTGGCAATGTGACACCTAAGGCACACACACACACAAAAAAAAAAAAAACAGATAAATGGACTTCACCAAAGTAAAATATGTGCTTGTCTATTAAGATAGTACAATGACAACCAACAGGAGAGTAGGAAATATATTCAAAACATCTATCTAATGAAAAGTTAATGACCACAATATATAAAGAACTCTTACAATTCGACAACAGAAAGATAAATAAGCCAGGCCTGGTGGCGCATGCCTGTGAACCCCAGCAACTCAAGACACAAAGGCAGGTAATCTGGGGAACTTAGGGAGAAACTGACTTATGGATTCAATGCCCAGTACAAAAAATAAACAAGGCAAAACCAACACTTTTTAAATGGGCAAAGGATTGAATAGATATTTCTCCAAAAAAAGATCTGTGAATGGGCCACCAGCACCTGGAAGGATGGTCATCACCCATCGGGAACGAAACCAAACCACGGAGGGGTGTCGGCCCCTTGGCCAAAAGGTTGAAGTCTGAAGTGGAAAGTGGCCAAGCCGTGGGGGGGGGGCAAGGGACGTGGCACAGGGCTGTGGGTGTACACGGTGTCGCGGCAAAGGGCTCACCACACCTGGCCCAGCAGTTCCACTCCGAGGTCCGCCCCTAGGCAACTCGAAAACCTGCTCCACACGAAACCTTGGCACCAGGGTGCCCAGCAGCCCTGCTCAGGCCCCAGGTGGAAACAAACCGAGTGCCCTTCAGTGGAACGCTTGAACACACGGGGACATTGAACAGGATTCGCCCCTGTGTCGGGCTGAGGTCCTGGGCCAGCTTCAGCAGGGACGAGCCTCAGCGAGGGGGAGAAGCAGGCGCAGAGGCTGCGGGTTCGTGGTCTGTTGTATGAAAAGCCACAGGAAGCAGATCCACGGAGGCAGGAAGTGGACAGTGGAGACCAGGAGCTGGGGACGAGGACAGTGAGGACCCACTGCTAATGGATCCGCGACTTCTTCTGGGAATGATGACTGGGTTCTAGAATTAGTCAGTGGTGATGATCACACAATTTTGTGAATACGCTAAAAACCGCTGAGTTATTAAAGGTACATGCTGCATGTTAAAAAGTGTGTAATTTATATCTTTAAAAGAGCGTGGGGGGGGGGAGCCGGGGCGGTGGTGGACACCTGTAATCCCAGCAACTCTGGAGGCTGAGGCAGGAGGATTGCAAGTTCAAAGCCAGCCTCAGCAACTTAGCGAGACCCTGTCTCAGAATAAAATATAAAAAGGGCTGGGAGGGTGGCTCAGTGGTCAGCACCCCTGGGTTCACTCCAACTGCTAGGGCAAGATTAAAAACAATGACCCCAGAGCAGAATAGTAAGGTACCTTTTGAGTAAAAAGAGGAGGACAATAGCAATAAGTATGCATTTTGTCTGTATTTGCATAAAACTTGTAGGATGGACAAGAAACTCATTCCCAGGTAACTCATTTTCTGGGTTAGACTGGAGAAGGGGGGTAGTATATTCTGATGTACATCCTTTTATGTCATTTTGATTTTCAAAGCATGTGTCTGACCTATTAAAAATAATTTTTTAAAGTGGAAGTCAAATCTTGCCATTTCTTTTTTTTTAAGAGAGAGAGAGAAAGAGAGAGAGAGAGAGAATTTTTAATATTTATTTTTTTAGTTCTCAGCTGACACAACATCTTTGTTGGTACGTGGTGCTGAGGATCAAACCTGGGCAGCATGCATGACAGGCGAGTGCGCTACCGCTTGAGCCACATCCCCAGCCCAAATCTTGCCATTTCTCTGCTCAAAACCCTGCGTGGAGGGGTCGCCCGGGTCATTTAAAGTAAGACTTTATAACCCTTCCAAGGCCCGGCCTCCTGCCCGCCCCCCACTGCCACCCCCTCGCTCTCTCACCTGCCTTCTTGCTGTTTCTGGAACACCACAAGCAAGTTCCTCACTTGGGACCTTTGCACTCAGGGCTCCTCAGCTTGGAATCAGTTGTCCCAGACATCTGCACAGCTGCTTTCCTTCTCCTTTAGCCTTGGCTCAAATGTCACCTTCTTGACCAAATGGCCTCCACCCTCACCTTCCAGGAGAGCCAGCACCCTGCGCTGGCTGTGGTTTCTTTAGAACAGCTGGGCCGCCGGCCCTCCACACACAAGTGTGGAGTGAGTGGGCGGAGGGCCACCAGGCCCTGGCCACAGAGGGGGCCTGTGGACACCAGCCACTTCATCCTGCTTGGCGCCTTGGGGCACACAGCAAGCTTTAGAGGTGTGTCCCTGAAATCTGAGATCCAGGCCCCACCAAAGCAAGGCAAGATAACCTCCTGGGTTAAAACCCAACCCAGCAGTCAAACCTGGCGCAAGGCCAGACAGTTCACCAGAATTTGCGGGGACTTGGGCTGCAGCCTGTAAGGGCCATTCCAAGGTGCCTCTTCATCTCTGGGAAGAGATATGGGAAGGTGACAGAAAGGGACATGAGACTGACCAGGGGCAGTGGCCACCCAGGGTAGGAATGCTCAGAAAACAGCCCCGGGGGAGGCTGGAAGCTGAGGAATTCAGATCTTAAATCCTGCAGAGAAGAATGAAGATGGAGCTTCTGAATGAAACTGCAAGAGCCTCCCTCCCGGGACCTCTTAGGTCCTTCCCGGCCTCCAGGCAGCTCCCACTTGATGGCAGCATGTGGAATTTAAGTGAGCAATTACTTGTGCAGCCAGCTAGACCTGGGGTAAAGCCTGCTGCTGCCATTTACCTGCCCCAGTATTGAAGGCATCTGGCTGAGCCGGGAGCATTCAAGCTTTTCTGGAGCGTCTACAGCGCGCCAGCTGCTCCTCCTCGGGCCAGAGGGGGTTCCCCTGGGAACAAAGGAAGTCCCAGGCCTCAGGAGACTGTTTCACGGCAGAGCGGACAGGGACTGCAAGTTCACTGCCCACAAGACAAGCCTGTGAGGACAAAACAGGGTGATGTCACAGTGCCCGGAGGAGGGGGCACCTCTGAGCAGGGAGTCACGGGGGCCTCTCTGGGTGCCCCTTCTCCAACTCTTGGCCCGGCGCCTGGCTGCTAGGGAGCAGTGACTTCTACGGTCCTTTTCATCAGTTTTCTGTCCCCGCCCCGGAAAGAATACGAGTTGGGGCCGGGACAGGCTCGAGGTGTCTTCTCC